CAGCTGTTGCTGGCTGACAATCATGGTTTTATTTGGCGATTGTTTGAAGCAAGGATAGAGAAAACACAGACACGGCTGTCCAGTGAAGATCATTTTTTTTTCCGTCTGGGAGAACCATGGACAGTGGTGAGTCAGAGGGGTCCAAGCTGGAGGGGGTCTCACAGTCTGCCCTCACTCACACTGTGAAACAATGCACTGGATTCTCCACAGAGAGCTGAAGCATGACATCAGATTCACTGTTTGCCAAAAGCATGTCTTGATTTCTCACTGGTTTATGTGTCCGATGCTCCACTAAACTCTGGTTTAATGGTGCAAAAATATGAATACAGGACTCAACAGTTGGATCCAAAAACTAAAGAGTTGGATCAGGTTTCAATCGCTCTGGTGAAATGTCTTACATAATGGTAGTCATAAATGGTCTCTTTGAATAACAAGGTAAAGGCTTCTAACGGGGACTTCGGTGCACTTGAATTGTACACAGATTTTACTTCAATAAAAAGCTGTTCTAGGTTTTAAGAGACTTTAAACATCTGTTTATAAACTGTCTCCAGACGCCTTGTCTGAAGGACAAGTGTGTGTGTGTGTGTGTGTGTGTGTGTGTGTGTGTGTGTGTGTGTGTGTGTGTGTGTGTGTGTGTGTGTGTGTGTGTGTGTGTGTGTGTGTTTTAATTAGGGACACTTAGCCACACATGAAAGGGAGGTTTGTTGTGACTACAATGCAGCTGTAAACATAGATCGGGACACTTAACTGAGGGGGTATTGTAACTTTTTCCAAAGACCTGTGTGCATGGTCTAGTGAAACACATTCAGTGCATGCCCCCCACACAATGTGACACCATAGACTGTACATATAAAGTGTGACACCCATAGTTACTGCGGTTCTTGATCTGCTCCAATAAAGAGTTCACAGAACGGGAGTAGCTGCATGGTTAGCATCTTAAATAAACATATACTACTGTTTGGCTATAAATCTGCTTAAGGTTCAGGCACAGTCTACAGGCATGCTCGTGGTTTTTGTGAGGCTGGACAGTGGATGGGGTTTGCCCGGCCAATAAAAGCCAAAAGAAAATGTTGACTATTGTCCACCATTGTAAAATAGACATCTACAGTGCACTTCAAACAACCAACAAGGTCACTTAATGACAGTTTCTATACAAATGCTCCGATGGATGAAGGTTTTCATTTTTGGAAAGCTTTCCTGAAGTTACTTCTTTTTTTTTTTTTAAATAAAGTCAACCCGGGAACTAAAAAAAGAAATGTGGTGCAAATTCTTATTGGATTGATTAGACTCCATATTTAGGTCCGGTATCAAGTTCTTTAAAATGTTCCATGTGCTGTCGTGAGATACAGCCATACGATAAGTTGAGCTTAAATCAAAATGCTAACATTAAAACAATGCTTATGCTAACATCGGGATTTTTTTAAGGTTTAATGTTTACCTTTTTCCCAATTGGTGTGTTTCATGCTTACATGCAGTTACTGTAGCATACTAAACAAAAAGTATAACTGAAATTGATGTGAATATTATTTTTCTGAAGGTATTAAACTATAAAGTACATTTTTGGACACATTCAAACTTTGATTGAATGGCAGTGGTTGATGAAAAGTGAAAAGGGCAGCAACTGTTTCTTTTTACAATTCCTCCTGGGGAAGGCATGAATGGGTGTACCTGACAAAAAGACATTTAGCCCCCATTGAGCCATGCCGCTATCATGGCTAAATAGAACAAAAGCAAAAACAGTGTATAATCCCATCTTGCCCCTGGCGACTGACTCAACGTGCATCATCAACATCTGTTCTAGATTTTTAGAATTTGCAGCCATTACTCAGAACTTGTAAATCTCAAGTCAGCAATTTTGGTTGGGTTGAGGGGAAGACATGGGGATACGGTTTTATAGAGTCAGCAGGTTTTATCATGTTGACTGAGATGAAAGGGTAGAGCAGCATGTGCAAAATATACCCAATAACTTTATAATAGCACGGTTTATAACTGATTCAGCAACAAACATAAACATGAAGCAATCATTCTTAAACTTTCCGGGTTTCTATATATTTCCCATGTTCCTTTGCACTGTTGTTACTCTCCCCTGAAGTAGCTATAAAACGTTATCTTGTGTTTTTCTTTGCCAACAATAGTCACACTACAGGAAGGGGTATATTTTCATTTTACAAAATAAACTGGAGTCTGCCAGGATTCATTAGTGAGCATAACCAGACAGTTGGAGAGGATTCAAGGTCGAAATGCACCCCATAGCGCTGGGTAATTTAACAGCTTTAACAAAGGCTAGTAAAGTTAGGGAGACATAATTAACAGGTTTAATTGGAGAGTAAGATTTAAGTACATGATTTAAAAGACATCTTTAAAAAAGTGTGGATGGGGATTTTGTCCTGCATTAACATGCGTTCTTTATACTTAAGCCAAACCACGGATAATGTGTCAAACTAAATGGCATTCAATGAGAGAAATCACTTATTTTATGTGTTGACCTTGAGCGAAGAAATGCACACATACTCAGCCGAACCAACTCAATTGCAAGGGTGTGTACATTCATTTTCACTCTTGACCTAACAATCAACATCGGCACCTCTGTTGTTTCCCCGACTCAGACTGCAAGGAATCTGGGTGTGACCCTAGATAACAAACTGTCCTTCACTGCAAACATCGCTGCTACAACCCGCTGCTGCAGATACACTCTTTAAAACATCAGGAGGATACGTCCCCTCCTGACCCAGAAAGCAGCGCAGGTTCTGGTCCAGGCTCTCTTCATCTCACGCCTAGACGTACTACTGCAACTCCCTCCTGACTGGTCTGCCTGCATGTGCCATCCGACCTCTGCAGCTCATCCAGAATGCAGCGGCTCGTCTGGTCTTCAACCTTCCAACATTTCCCCACACCACGCCGCTCCTCCGCTCCCTTCACTGGCTTCCAGTAACTGCTAGAATCCACTTCAAGACACTGGTACTTGCGCACCAAGCTGCGAATGGATCTGGCCCTTCCTACATCCAGGACATGGTTAAACTGTACACCCCAGCGCGTACACTCCGCTCTGCATCGGCCAAACAGCTCGCTGCACCCGCACTGCGAGGGGGACCCAAGTTCCCATCAGCAAAAACACGTGGATTTGCTATCCTGGCTCCAAAATGGTGGAATGAGCTCCCCATTGAAATCAGGACAGCAGATAGCTTGCACATTTTCCGGCGCAGACTAAAAACTCATCTTTTTTGACTCCACTTCGAGCGATATAATTACTAACAAAGCACTTAACAGTGGTGTAGTGGGCGTTGGACGCGGGGGTATAGCCTACGCCGTACCCCCACTTATTTGATGTCTTTTTTTAATAGTCTAATACATCTAAAATCATTGCCAGTGTTATCAGTTGCAAGTGTGTGTTTGTTGTAATAATGACGAAAACATAATAGGCAGATTTCACAGTAATTATAATAAAAACGTAGCTCAAGCATTTATGCAACTTGATTTGAAGCGTGTGTGTGAGGTGCATAACCGTGTGTGTAGGGTGCGGGACTGCACACACGGCATTTTTATTATTTGTCCCGCGTCCCACATATTGAGACCAAGTCCCGCATTCGAGTGATAGTCGCGCAGAAAGGCCGGATCAGTACCGATGGAACCGCGAACAACATCCAGCAGCGAACCGCAACTTACATTGTCTAAACGGCATCATGACAGGCGACACAGAGGTCCCCAAGCCCTCCCCCCCCGTTAACAGTTCACGAGCGCGTCCATAGTCCACCCCGTCCACCCAGTAAAAAAATCCCAATTACACCACTGCTTATAATAAAGGACTGGCTTATCTAAAGCCAGTTGAGTAGCACTTGAAATGTTTGGCTCTACGAAACCTGATGTACTTATATTATTCTGTTTTCTTCAAGGTTGTATCTTCCTGTTCGAATGTACTTATTGTAAGTCGCTTTGGATAAAAGCGTCAGCTAAATGCAATGTAATGTAATGTAATGTAATTTAGTCAGGTATGGTTAAAGTGAATGGTTGTTTTTTCTGTAGTGAAGCCAGTTGAATCAGAGAGGTCTTGTGCATATGTGCATGCATTAAAACACAATGTTTTTTCCACATGTGTGAATCTACATGCCTCTCATTCTGGGGCACACACAGCATAATACACGCACAAACCTGTACCATGTGTTACATCATATGGTTTTGAGAATATGTTTGTGCACAGGAAATAAGTGCAGCCTTTGAAGAGGAGGGTTATTTGTGCGACAGCCAGTAAACCGAAGGTAAATCAAGAACATACCAAGTAGGAAAACACAGTCTAAAACTGCCTCCCACAATTCATCACTGGCAGAGATTCAAGGCTGAACGTATTATTCAAGAGGGTGAGGGTTAAAGGTGTTTCTTGCTTGGTGGCACCCAGCTTTTTGAGGAGTTATATCATGTCCGTCTCTACCTTTAGTTGGCAGAAAGGTCTCTTTCATACATATTGTATGCACACACACATATAGGCATTCACACAGATGCATTGCTGAGATAGATAACACATCCTCGCAGCTGTTGCAGGGAGTGAGTAATCGGTCATGCCAACTCCCAGAGTGCACTGTGGGAATTTGAAAGAAGCAGGAGAAAAGCAGTATTGCACCATCACCATCACCTTTGAAGTCAGTTGGTTCCAGATTTGTTTTGGTTCCATTCAGTGTACAGTCAGCTGGCTTGTGTTGCTGCTCTCCGTTGACATTGCATGACACATGTTGATGCTTTGTTTTGACATTACAGTAAATTAGCTCTACTATTTACCGCCATCTGCTGGACACTCACTGCAAGTGTTAAATAAAACTTGATTAAATTGATGCACTTGTTTTTACTGTTACATCTTTGCATATCATCAAATGTTAACTTTAAGGAGAAAACATAGCTTGAATATAATGAAGCGTGGTGAAAATAAAGCAGATAACCTGACGTTATTAGAACATGACGTCGTTGCTATAGTAACCAGAACACAGCATTTAACCAGAGAGAAAACTGTGATTGAGTTTTGCTAACATTTGCTGTTAGCTTTAACGTTATTTAAACTATTAAAGGCTTACGGTTTTGTACTGTCATTGCACAAAGGGACGGAGTTTTCAAGGAGGATTCAAGACATTTACAAGTAAGACTTTTGTAAAAGTATTTGTTTCTTTGTTTAGCAAACAAACACCGACACAAACATGAACTACTTGTATTGTTAGCTAACGCTTAGCTTATGTTTTAGCTACGTAAATTAGCATTAACAGTAACGTTACACATCAACATGGAGCATTTTTACTTAAGAACGTGTTTTTAATGGTGACGCCATAGAAAGGGACGTTTATGTATTGGCGTTGAGCATTTAGTCAACAAAGTATAAACTAAACTGTATATTTTTTTCGATTATGAAGCGCACTGCTCACATATTTAGGTGATACTGTCCCTACCACCTTGCATAAACTTCATATATTATATAATATACATATTGTCAGTATTTATTCCCCTTAAAAATCAGTTATTAATATTGAACGTGTGTTTTAAATAGCTCTTGCTAGGTTTGTGGTATTGATAGACAGCTTTTTTTTGCAACACCTTTCGTACCAAATTACCCTCTGACCCGTCAATTGATGTTTTGTGGTAACTCAATTTACAGAGTATTTATCAATTAAGATGAAGAAGATTCCGAGTTACCCATCCTGCATAGAATGTTGCTATTGTTGATGTTTTTATCTTGTTTCATAAATGCAATGCTCTTATTCCCCATGCTTTCTCCCTGCCTTCAATCTATGAATACTTATGAATAGATTGGGTAATGGACTGTACCTATCTATATGTTTTGCATTAGTGAGTCAATCTGAGGAGGAACAGGGTTGGATGAATCCCAGTGGAGGAGAGGAGGAGGAGGAGGAAGATGAGGATGAGGATGAGGATGATGAGGATACCCCCCAGGTGGCCCTTACACCTGATGCTTCACTCCCAGAGGATCCATCCTTTGCTACTACTGATGTAACTGCTAGCTCTGCCTTCCAGTGCCTTGAGGAGGTAAGACTCATGCATGATGATGATTAATAGTCATTTAAATAAATTATATATTAAATAAATTATTAATTAAATAGCATTTTAGAGGTTTCATATGAAAGACAAACATAGCACAAGTACTTCAGTATTATTTATCATTTTACATTACTTTAGTATTTCTATTTAATGCTACTTTATACTTCTCCACTACAAACCACATGTAAATAATGTGCTTTTTATTACACTACATTTATTTAACACTCTAGTTACTATAAATAATATGATAACACAATATATTCTTATCCATCATGTATTTGACATAGTCTTTTAAAATTGGCTCCACATTGACAAACGTTAACATTAAAAGGCTTGTACATGTTATAAAAAAAATATTATTTAATATTCAAATTACTTTGAAATAGCCATTCTGCATACTTTTTACTTTTGATACTTGAAGTACATTTAGCTGATAAAACGTTTGTACTTGATATCACTGCAATGGGCCACCGTGCAGAATAAGTACTTCTATTATCTATAGTACTTCATTTTGATGCCTATTGTACTATTGCTTTGGTAACATTTTGAATTCAGGATGTTTACTTGTAATGTATTTTAAGAGCATAGTATTTCAACTTGTACTTAAGTACATGGATCTGAGTACTTTATCCCCCTCTGGCAATGATCACATTTACTTCATTGCCTTTGTTCCCTGATAGATTATCTTTAAAATATATCTTGGTACTGTACATGGATTTGTGGACCATACAACATTAAACATAATGTTTAAAGAAAAGTAAATACTTGGAATTGAATTCATCATGTGGATGAGCACAATCATTTTTTATTAACTTGATGGTCACATACAGTAAACAGACATTAAAGTCACAGACCCACAGTGTGATTCTGTGATGACTGATATGTACTCCCTCTTGTATTGAGTCACTTTAATGAGTCAACACCTCATTAACCCGTTCATTATGGTCATGCAGCATAACAGGCGCACTTTGAGGGATTACTACTCATATGCCTTCAACAGGATTTCAAACACTGAAATGTACACGGCCATGAAGTTAGAACTTTATTCATTTTTTGATATAAAAAAGTGCATAATCTTTTGGCATGACGGTTGAATATGAATGATAGAAAAGATCAATATCGTACACACACGAAGCTCCAAATACACACATAATTACTATGAATGGTCACAATACTGCAAGTCTTCATCATTGCTTGAATATCAACAATCATTAGACTTGTCCTGCATGACCTATGTATCATATAAAAGCTGTCATACCTCACAAAATCAAATAAATACTGTACACGTCCTCAAAGTTTCTTTCCCCATCCTTCCCATTCACACTGCGCATAGAATGGATTAAATGGTGCTTTACAGAATGCTAACGTTAGGCGGCAGTATTGTACAAGTGATGACTCGGGGAGGTGTTTTTACACATGAAAACTGGTGCATGGCCTCAGGAGATGTGCAGTAGTTCAGTGCACCCAGAGATAATGGGGGAGTACAATAGGAACAGGTTATTTTTGCAGCAGTGTCCTGCTCCGAGGCTGCTGTCAAGAAAAATGTAATGGAGCATCAATAATGCAGAATGTACTTGGGAACGATCCAATCGAATTGTATTTCAGGGTGCATATTTATCCTTGGATGTTTTATACTGTATAGGATGATGATACATTAGCAAAGTGTCCCAGTGTAATTAAGTGAACGACACAGAAGCTGTTAATTGTGCACCGCTACCCAAAGCGTGTCATATATCACTTCCTGTAGTTATTTTTTTAAACATTTTGACTCTGACCCCGGCATGAAGTCTTTCACAATGAATTTCCGAGCCACTAAAAAAACTGTATCATCAGCTCTCATATACCTCACTCGAGTGGCTGCTGTTAATTATGAAACCATTTAGAGCGGAGAAAATGATAGCTCATTAGTTTTTACTACTACTGTGTGCTGTGCCGTGTCTCAGCTGGTTTTTATAGCAGGGGGGACAGAAAGTGGAGAAATGTCAGAAAAACTGTGAAAAATCTCTCATGTTAACCCACCGTAGATTATGATGGCCACTGTAGGAGGCTGGCCTTTAGACTGTGTGTGTGTTTTTTATTAGTCCATCATCGTTCATAGTCCATTGTCCTTTAGTATCATCATTTGAATCCGAAATTTTTTTGACGGCCGCGCTCACTGCAGTGGAGAAAAGCAATGGCGGGGTTAAAAAATGTTACATTTACGTTCACAATTGTCTTTTTCTCATGAGTTGCACTGTACAAACTCAAAATCTTGCCAAGTATATTCGTCTAATTTCTAGTCAGAATATGTCCTTACACTCGATATAAGACCTAATAACTGAAGAGGTAACAATGCAGTGAGATATAGGGCCTTGTTCTTAGACAATGCATTTTTAAGCTGCTGTGGTTTTTGTAAAAGATGGTTCATCTAAAAAAAAATACTTAAGGGAAAATCACCAACTAACATCAGAAAACTGCAAACTTTTGAGCATTTCAGGCCACAGAACATTTCCTGATCCTGGTAAGATATAGTTCAAAATAAGTTTTCCCAGCTTATCACAAGATCTTCTTTATCTAAATATACCTCGTCTTATTTCAAGAAATCTAACCAAGCAAATGTTCACTTGTTCTATTGGCAGATATTTTTACTTATTACACGCGAAAACACCTTGTTTTCATTATTCTTTTACTTGATTTTGGAGCAGCATTTTTTCCAGTGTAAGTGAGCAAATGCATGACTAATTGTAATTGTTGGTGTTTTTCCTTCTAATCTCCGTCTTTCCATATTCATATTTACCTGTCCCCTTACGGAGCGTAGTTCTTGGGCCTCATCAGCATCTTGACGGTTTTGAAGGCCTGCCTGTAGTTGGTGGGGTAGTACTCCGTGGACATGTTGTGCCACGTTCCCCAGAAGATCCCGTTCCTCACTCCCTTGTACCTCTTGTGATAGTACTTCCCGTTGAGGTTGGCGGACATGCAGGCGTCGAACCACCAACCGGAACTGTAGTAGGCGCCGCAGCTTCCGGAGGGGTACATGTCGTTGTCGCGGTCGGGCGTCGAGAAGAACTTCTGGTCGTGGTTGAAGTGCTTGTTGAAATTGATGGCGTTCCCAGCTGTCCCACTGCAGGAAACATCAATACTTATATAAGATGTAGTCCTTCTTTATGAATATTTGATCGAGCGTGCAAGCAGAGAATCTAAAATCGTACCTGTATCCACTGATGGACAGTCGATAGCGGAGGAATTCATTGGCCACATAGAACTGTTCGTACTTTGCGTACTCCCGGACACCCTCGAAGTCCTCCAGCTCAATGCGCAGCACCATGTCTTTGGCTTTGGTCATCGAGTGGATATGGTCATTGCCCAGCCAGAACTCACCTCTACAGAAGAGGGGAAGTACAGATAAGAGGGGAAAGGACAAGGTAAAACAAATTGAGATGATTAAAAAGCGCATATCGGTGTACATCTGATTAGAAAGCTACTCAAAATGATTTAAGTTAACGACAGAGGGGAGGGGTAGATGCAAGGGCAGAGGAGTGTGACGGTAAAAGAGGGTTGAGAGGAGACATTATTCTTTCAGTGGGAGGTTATACTACATCCATGGCTGTCATATAAAACTCCTTCCTTCAGGAGCAGAGTGCAGAACATGGCCTGAAATATGAATCTAGTTACAGAAAGGGCGATGCGTTAAAACAGAAAATAGTCTGTGTTGAACGGCTGCTTCCTTCCATTTTCCCAGGAAGCTATTTCCCATCTTTAACCATTTTCTAGTCCTAAATTATTAATTGCATTTTGTTAAAAGGGGTCAGCTGTACTGTAGTCATTAGCTTTTATCTATATGTTGCATGTGAAGGGAATTGTTACATTCTTGTTCACCAATAGGTTACCTGAGCAGATAGTAGGATTACATTTAAGTGAGAAGATGATATGATGTTACTGGTACAGGTGGTTAGTAGATGGCAGCTTGTTGCTACAAATAGGGGATTTACGTGATGATTCTCACCAATCTGTTCGTGAGCTTGTAATTGTTCTTATTTTATCGTACTTTTTAGGTTTTCTGAATGTCTTTCTCTTTTTCCTTGTTTCGTTTTTTTGGTTGATTTAGTATTCCTCTTTTTTTAAAGGGGTCATATGACGCTCGTTTTCAGATTCATATTTGTATTTTGTGGCTCGACTGTGAAATATTTACAGGCTTTATTTTTCAAAATGGTCTTTATCTTTCTCATACTGCCTGTGCTGCTGCACCTCTTTTCACCCTCTGTCTGAAACCAGAGCCCAGTCTGCTCTGATTGGTTAGCGGGCCGGCTCTGTTGTGATTGGTCAACCGCTTAGAGGTGTGTCTGAAATGTCCTTAGCATATTGCAAACAATGCATTGGAACGCTAGGCAATAGAATCGCGAGTGTGTCAGTGATATCATTTTGTTACGGTAGTAAACAAAGGAGTTTAATGAAGGCGTTTCAGGCAGGGGGGGAGTGTGTGGGAATTTTTTGTTTTTGCAGACAATTTACATGCACAAAAACCTATATAATACACTACATGAAAGGGAACACCACACAAAGCATAACATGGCCCCTTTAAGTTGGAAAACCTACCAGAGACAATACTTTTATCGATACCAGTTAGATATATCTGGTTGTCTTTTTAAGCCTCTAAGCCACAACTGTCATTTTGGTTTCCAGCCAATGTTCCCGACCCTAAGATATCTTTTGAAAGGAGGGTAGGAAATAAACCCAAGCCCATTACCTGAGGTTCCCGAAGCCTTTCTTATACTCGGCCCAGGTGCGGTTGAAGCTGACAGACCCATCGAGCCGTTGCTGTATCACGGTCCATCCGCCCCCATAGGACTCCATGTCACAGAAGACGTCAATTGAGCCATTGCGGGGATCAAAGGTCACGCTGTACACACCGTTCTTCCTCGCCTCCAGCACATTGTAGTCTGAACAGTCCCGAGGGGCAAAGATCACTGGTGGGACAAAGAGAGAGGTGATGGACGATGAGAGATGGTTGT